TTTTTTTTTTTTTGCTTTTAATTTTAACAGTTACGGTAATAAAAGATTGCTGTTGACGAATATTCAATAGTTGTAAAAACATTTTTTCTGCATTACCGCTGTTTACTGGAGCTAAAATTTAGATCGAGAATGTATTATGCATATCATTTTTTCTTGGTTGAGTTAGATTAGTCTTATTGTTTTTACTGCTCTAAAATAAGTCTCAATTTTTTGCCGTTTTAGTAAACTATAATTGCAGACAATCTTAGCAGTGCAATACAGTCATTTGTGTGATAAAAACAAATCAGTTACTGGGTGGAAGATCATCGAATAACCTTCTTTTCTGACCAATGATATTAGCAGTATCACAGGTGACAGTCCAGATGGTCAACAAACTGATATATAATGTCAATATCAACTGTTCATATGTCTGAATGCAGTTGGAGAAATAAATCTGACCATAAGGTTTACTGGAAAATTTCAACTTTATACAACAACCATACATTAGAAAGATTTAGGAAAGAAGTTATAATTTTAGAGTGCAGAAAGACAGAATGAAGAAAAAAGCATTTGAAAGTTAAAATAAAATAACGTTTTAAATAAAAAAAATAAAAGGATTTTTTTTTGTTTTTGTTATTGTCGTTCGTTTTTGTTTTATAAGTGAATTTGAAATGAACTTTTTTAACTGCAGTTTGCAAATTGTTTCTTTAATACATTTTGTGGCAACACTGTATCGGCGTTGTTCGTTGTTGTTGCTAACTTCCAACAATGTTGAAGAACAACACTTTTTTTTTTTTGCCATTATTTTTTCCTTCTTCTTTTTGTCTATTTTTCTTTTCTTTTTTTTTTTTTCATTTATTGCTAAGAAAATGCGGAATAGTTCGCCTACAATCAAAATATACAGCTTTATGTTCTGTTTATTAGCATTACATTCCAAATTTTATCGCTATTGTTCAAATGTAACGTATATACAAAACGATTTCTTCTTCTTCTCTTTTTTTTGGCTTTAGTTTTAGTTTTTAGTTGCTTAAACTACCAGAACAATATTTATTTGTCTCTGCTTTTTTTTTTATTTCCTACAAATAGTTTTTTTCACCATTTTGCTTTTTAGCTAATCATTCTTTTTGTTGCCCGTTGGATCTGAAGAAAACAATGTTGGCGGAAGAGACGTTGAAAACAATCAAATGGGCGGCTCTGCAACAACACTGAACATGAATCAACAGCAAAACTTGTTACTTACTTCCTGTAGTCATAATTTTCAAGGTATAAAGATAGCCGAAGCAATAAAATTAATCCATGTTTTTGAAGCGGTACAAAGAAAACAAAATAAAACAGAATAAAAATTATCTGTAGTGTTCTATTACAACGATAAAGACAGTTGAAACGAAACTGCCAAGCTTTGAATAAGCATTGATAATCAGTATAGATAATTAATCATAAATACAAGAAAACAATGACAGCAACTAAACAAACTTGCAGCTAAAGTCTGCCAGCACCAATCAACGCTTTTCTGATCGACCGATGTTATCGGATGGACAACTGAAAAAGCCTTTGAGGCTTACCGATAGGCGTTATGGCATTTGGTATTGCGGTGATCATCAAAAGGGGGTCACCGGCGGTATTCGAAGCTGTAAGCACTGTTGCTGTGCTCTTTGGGGAGAACAAGCCGTTCAACGGTTCCGACAACTTGTGGAGTTGCTCTGTCACCAGTGTATCAAGCCAGTTTGCGGCCAGCTTTCATGATTAGACTATATTCTTCTCGGGCAGTTTACTCTATCACTTGTGTCTTCTCTCTTTTTTCTTTCTCAAAATTATTTACGCCGCTTAAAAAGAAAGGAAAAAGAAAGCTTTTTCCTTATCTAAGCACTGTGTCATTTTGAAAAATCAAAATTTTCATAGAATTTACTTTTTTAAATTAATTAAATAAATGATTTATATTAATCTCTACTTCTAAAAGAAAGCAAATAAAGAATGCTATTCAATAAAATAGAATGTATCGCTTAGTTTAAGTTTTCTTCTGAACGAATGCAGATGAACGGTAACTTGCACGCAGTTAACTGTGGATCCGCAATCAATAGTCTACTGGATGTAACCTATTTTCAGATGTGCAAATAAAACTTTATGTAACCTTTAATAGTTTAAAAAAGTTCACAATGTTTTGCTACCAGTTTTTAATGCTTATCTGCCGTAAAAAAAAAAAAAGAAAAAGATAGAATAGTAAAATAAATAAATAAATAAATAAATAAATAAGATCAAGATTGTTCTCGACAGAAATCTGATTAGATGACGGTTATCAAGTAAAAACAAAAGTTCAGCAAGGAACAAAAACCTTCAAATAAACGAAGAAATCTGATTATCTGTTAGATGTCAAATGTATATTACCAATGATTTATTTCACTAAACAGTGTTAATTTACGGTTTAACAGATCCGTTTTCTAAAAAATGTTTTTCAAACGCTACGCTTCAGCCAGCGAGGTCACTGATTGGCTGCACTTCAATTGGTGGGCGTAGGGATTTGTGCTTATTAAGTAGGGGAATGCATGAAGGCAGCAGGCTGTTAAGGGTTAATCGTCTAAATTTTAAATTTTTTAAAATTTAATTAAAACGACAGGTTTTTTTTTTCGAAGTGGTGATTTATTTTCAGACAAATTTCTAACAAATCAAAAAAACCAAGTATAATGGTTAAATTTGCAAAACTCAACAAGTCAAAAATGTGATTCATTCTTGTAGCTAGAAGGCTGATGAAGAATAACCAACTGGATGGCATCCATTTGAGTATTCGTTTACAGTATCGGAGTGTAGAAGCAGTCTTCTGAATTTGAGTTAACAAATTTTTTTTTTTTTGGTTTTCATACATCTTTAGATAAAATTTAAGCCCCGCCCACCGGTAGATAAACCGCCTTTGTGGCCTATTAGAATAGGAAAAAAAAGCATCGGTACATATATTAGGTTGAGGAGATAAGAAGGAATGGGAAGGAGGAAGTGTATGAACCAATA